CTTTCAAATACATAAATCTTAAAAAAAAAGTTGGTCTCAATTATAAACAGCAAAAAAATTTTTAAAAATCTACACAAACTCAAAATCTGTGCTACCTATGTTGACCTCATCTAAAACCTTCAAAAAATATTCAAAGGAACACAAGTTTTCTCCTCTTTCTTATATAATTACAAATGAAACCTTACATTCTGTGACCTGTGGCCAAAGCACTTGGCTAACTCAAGATGGGCCTTCACTCCTGAGGCTTCTACTTCACATATGGGCAGGCAAATTGCTTCTCACCTGTGTGAGTTTGCCATCATCTGGACAGTTCATCTGAAGAGGCAAACCACCTTTCACAACCTCTCCACCTACAGCTAAAAGGGTTTTTCCCTGTATATGTTCTCTTGGGGACTATCACATAAGAATTTTTAAAAGATTTATTTATTTGTTTGTTTGAAAGTCAGAATTACAGAAAGCAAGGGTGATATAGAGACCTTCCATCCAGCTGGTTCATTCCCTAAATGACCACAATGGTCAAGGCTGAGCCAGGCTGAAACCAGTAGCCAGATCTTCATCTGGGTCTCCCATATGGGAACAGGGGTCCAAGTACTGGGGCTACCTTCCACTGTTTTCCCAGATACATAGTGTGGAGCAGCCAGGACTTGAACTGGCACCCACAGGTGATGCAGGCTGTTGCAGACAGCACAGCTGCAGCCCCACATGAGAAATTTTAAAGTAGGTCTTGCTACATCCTGGATAACTACAGATGGGACTTCTTTTCCTGGAAGAGTCAGTCTGAGGAAAAACTTTAGCTGCTAAAGGAGAAAACCCAGGAATGGGGGCAATGGGAGAGCCTGGTACCATCTGAGCTCACCATTGGCAGCTATGGAGTTTGTTCAATCACTGAGGTACAAGACATATGACAGCTGCTTTGGGCACCTGAGAAAGCATCATCAGCTTTTGTCATGAGGACATGGGCTGGCTGATATCTACACATGACTCTCTCTGAGATAGGCACAGAAAAGTCATAAAGTGAGAACCCACTTTCTCTTCCACTTCTGCAACTGTTTCACTCACATCAACATCTGTTTGCTGACCCAGCTGCACAAAGTTTGTTTTCCCCTGCAGAGTGACATTTAGGTGGGTTCTTTGAAAGGGATTGTCCTTAACACTTGGAAATGCTGGCTGTATTTACTGGCAGGATTGGTGGGTACAAAGGTGGGGATCAGCAGCATGATGCAGCACACTGATTGCTTGAGCCTTAGGGAACTCGGAGGAGAGACACTGGGATCTTTTCTTCCTCTGAATGGTGCAGCAATGTACAGCTTGGACATATCAGAAAATGACTTTAAGTATTCAGTAGAGGGTGTTGGTGCAATCATATTGACACTTAGGGTTCAAAGTCTGAGTGGCTCACTTGGTTAATCCTCTGCCTGCAGCACTGGCATCCCATATGGGTGCTGGATTCTAGTGCCAGGTGCTCCTCTTCCAGTCCAGCTCTCTGCTGTGGCCTGGGAAGGCAGTGGAGTTTAGCCCAAGTGCTTGGGCACCAGCACCTGCATGGTAGATCAGGAGGAAACACCTGGCGCCTGGCTTCAGATCGGTGTAGTTCCAGCTGTAGCGGCCACTGGGGAGGTGAACCAATGGAATGAAGACCTTTCTGTCTGTCTCTCTCTCTTACTGTCTAACTCTATCTTTCAAATAAATTTTAAAAAGCATATAAACCATTCTGAATATTAGAGAATTCTGAGAAAAAGAAATGTACTGTGCATAAATGAAGAGCACATTTAGACAGCAACAAGATGGATACACTGTGTATCAGGATGGTTATACTTAAAAATAAACATTACAAATGCTTTGCAAGGATAGAGTAGCAGGACATCTCATTCATTACTGGTGAGAATGCATCATGAGACAGATGCTTTATCAGACATCTTGACATGTTATTAGGAATCCAACACCGTGTCATACACCATACATGTTCTAATATATTTTCACAGTTGGTGTTAAAACATATGCCTTGATAAAAGCTGACATGAAAATATATATAGCAGCTTTATTCACAATGGCTAAAGCTCACATAAAACCAAATTGTTCTTCAATGGTTAACCACATAACCAAACCTTCAAAGTGGGTGGAGACCCTGGGAAGAGAACAGGAGATGAAGACACATGAGATGCTTAGGGTGCAGGCATTTAGCATGGGGACACAAGAGAAAAGTCTAGGCTGTGGATATAGGGGTTCTGGAAGCCTAAGGAAGACAATGACTTCAAGCAAAGGGCAGAGAAGTATCTGAAGGCTGCCATGAGCTGAAGGCACAGGCAATGAAGTCACTCCAGGGTAGAGGAAAATACTCTGGAGTAGAGATGCAGGACATTGATGGGAGATCATGGCTTCATGCAGAGGGGCTGGAGGACCTGACAGCTGGCTCGGGATGCAGGCACAGATGGACACTCAAGGAAAGATGTGATGGAGGGGCTGGCATTGTGGTGCGGTGGGTTACACCACTGCCTGTGATGCTGGCATATGGGTGCTGGTTTGTATGCTTGCTGCCTGTTCAGATCCAGATCCCTGCTAACAACCTGGGAAAGCAGTGGAAGATGGCCCTAGTGTTTTGGTCTCTGCTGCCCATGTGGGAGGCCAGAAAAAGCTGCAAATTCCTGGCTCCTGACTTCAGTCTGGCCCAATCCTGGCCATTGCAGCCTACTGGGGAGTGAGCCAGCAGATGGAAGCTCTTTCTGTCTCTCTATGCCTCTGTCTCTCCCTCTATGTAATTTTCAAATAAATATTTTTTAAAAAGAGGTGCTGGGGACACAGGCACTTGAGATTCATGAAGGCACATGGAATAGGACTTTTGAGGGCTGACATGGAGTACAGAGGTTTTACAAATGACAACACAAAACAGTGAAGAGAGGTCACAGTTATATGAAGAGTGACACTGGAGAAAACACATGGGGTTTCAGGCACAGGAAAGGAGATACATGAAGCCTGGTATGGTTGCAGGCTCATGGGGATGGAGACACTGGGGCAGACAGGGTATATACTTATAGGGTTTGCAAATATATAAGAAAATTAAGGGGATATGGATACAGTGCTTGGAGAAAATGGAAATCCTTAAGTGAATATGTTAGGACACAGAAATCTCAGCTACCTTCTCAAGAATTAAAAAGGAAAAATGCTGAAAGAATATTTAAATAAAGGCAGGACACAGATGCAACAGACATCAATGAAATGTTTCTAGTCACAGAAGTACTCCAGAAACATGTAAGGAAAAATATATTTTAAAAGTTAAGAAAATGAAGAAGCTAGTAACCAATTTGAAGAAATTAAACCAGGGCCATTCTTTATAGAATGTTCAGAACTTACCAAGATACTAAGAGGATATTGTTAAACTCTTAGAAATAAAAATGTGACTCCAGAGTTCAAAATCTGTTACACTTTGAAAATCAGTCTCCCAAAACACAAATATAGCATGAAACAGAAAAAAAAAAAAACTACATAATGTAATCAGGTGATTGAATTTTTGAAAAGCCAAACCAACCACGACAAAAGTTCCACAAGTAAAATTTTGGGCCCAAACATATGGAATATTCTAAATTTTTAAGAAAAAAATAAATTTAAATTTCTCAAGCTCATTTTAAGTGGAAATAAACAGAGAATGTATTTAAATTACTTTTTTGGAAGCCAGTGTTTTATATATGATGCAAGCAGTACCAGGTTATGAAATTAATGAGTATTTGTTTCATCAACAGGTGATATCCTGAGAAAAATATTATATGAATTCAACCATATAGGAAAATATCTTAGATCAATAACAAGCAATACACATTAAAAAATGAAGAGCATTCAACAGTGTCAAAAAAACCCTGTAAATCATCCAGGTAGGTTGAAAATGTGAGGTAATTACATGATCATTCAGATTAAGTGTTAAAGCATTTAACAAAATTCAGTATCCAAACAGAAAAAAAAATCAACTTCTGGCAAAATTGCAAAAAAGAGGGATTTGCTGTATGTGATCAAGATTGTCTAAAATGGACCTACAACAAACTACTTAACACAGGATCACTGAAAGCTTGTCCCCTGGGAACAGACCCAGCTATGCCTGCCTTCTCCCCATCTCTCTTAACATGGAAATCCAACAACAAAAACAATAAGCATCGATCCTAAATACACCAGTAACTCTGTCAATGTACCCAGATGACACCATTACATACAGACAATCCAGTGTCATCCCGAACTACATACAACTGATAAGAGAGGGTAACCAGATCACTGGGTAAAATATGACCGGGGCATCCCATGTGGGTGCCGGTTTGAATCCCAGCTGCTCCATTCTGATCCAGCTCTCTGCTATGCCCTGGGAAAGCAGTGGAAGATGCCCAAGTCCTTGGGCCCCTGCACCTGCGTGGGGGACAGGGAAGCAGCTCCTGGCTCCTGGTTTCGTATCTGCGCAACTCCGGCCGTTGTGGCCAACTGGGGAGTGAAGCAGAGGATGGAAGCCTTCTCTCTCTCTCCCTCTCTCTCTCTCGCTCTGTAACTCTGCCTTTCAAACAATCTTTTTTTTTTAAATGTCATTACTAACAGCAAGAAACACATAGGAAATATTAGACAAAAGACAGTCTAGAAGACACGTATCTTCAAGAGAAATGAACCAAGAGGTTTAATCACGCAATATCTTTAAACATCATTCAAAGGAACATTACAGAAACTTCCCAAAGGAGAAATCGTTCAGAATATGAAGAAACACAAAGATGAAGCGCAGTTAGCGGTGACTCACCTGGAGCGGCTTCTGCAGCTCAAGGCGAACTCTAGAGGTCCCCAGAGCCCCGAGGAACACGGAGGCCACAGCGACCCCGCTGGGAAATCAAGCACCTGGGCGGCCTCAGACCCCAAACCTGCCTGCCCTCCCATCGCCCGGCAACAACCTCCCCACGCCCACTGCGCCAGCGAGTGTGCTGATTGGCTATGGCTTTTGTGACGCCCCTCACGTCCATCGGCTTTGCAACTGTCCAATCAGGGGCCCTGGTGAGGGTGGCGGACCACTTCCTCATCTCAGGAGATCCCTGTGTCCTAGTGGCCTCCAGCCTACAGTTGGCAGAACGTCCCCGCGGTGGCTGGGCCTTCTCTGCTCTGAGAAAGGGAAGCCAGAGGCCTCGGGAGTGGGAAGTGGTGAGTGTGTGGGGCCAGGTTTCCCAGAAGGGGCCGTGGGCGGATGGATCCTTCCAGAACCAGCTACAGAGGGACCTGGACTTCCCCCGCAGTGAGCTCTTCCATCTGTGGACCCCACCGCTGCGGGCTGGGCCGGCTCCAGACACGGGCGACAGGCCCCATCCCTGCACCAGTGACCTCGGCTCGCTCTCGCGACCTCAGCTAGCTCCAGAGCCTCCTCTCCGTCTCTGTGCGTGGAGTCCGCCTCTCCCCAGGTTGGGTGGAAAGGACGGAGGGATATCGGTAGAGTGGACTGCGTTGTGGCCTTTTGTTGAGGCGAGGCCATCTCCAGCCTTCAGGCCCTGTTTTGCCTGTTTTACCAATCAGCTAAACGTGGGCTGGAATGCGTGCAATGTACTGCACACTGCTTTCCACTAGGTAATCCAGTTAAAGTAAATTCTCATTCTTCTTAGAAATTATGTAACATTTCACTAAGAATCACCTTTATAATCCAGTAAGGCCAAACATTTGAGTAAATAAATTGTCAACGCAAATCCAACAAAAAAAGAAAAAAGAAACATGATCATTATTCCAGTCAAGTCTTTCTGGTTTAGAAAATATGTTGTTGATGCTAATTTGACAACATTTCCCATACACCAGAATTTTAAACTCAAATTGCATGGCATTGGCAAAAATAACTCAGGCACGGAGGGCTCTAGATATAGACTTATAAAACAAAATATTGAAATCTGGTGCCTCTTTTTTTGACAAAAGAATAGGCAACAAATGCTATCAGTTGTGTATGGGGAAGACAAGTACTTTGAGGGGAAGTAAATGATGGCTTCTGTGCTCATAAGGAAGGTGGGGGTGTTAGAAATATGGCATTGATCACATATTTCCCTTTCTAAAACATCTTCCCTACAGGTCCAGAAACTGCTCAGGTGTGGGTGTAGGTGGATGAGCAACAGACAGTCCTGCCTTCTTGATTCCCCAAAAAGATATAGGTACAGTTCATCTTCATTTTTGCAGTGGTTAAGAGTTTCAGGGAATACAGTGCAAGATCTTGATTTTGAGTGTATTTTTCTGTATGTGTTTCTGTTTAATGTCATGTGAAAGGTTTTTGAAGTTCCTTTTTTTCTGGTGTTAACATTTCAGCCATTTGAATCAGGTTTGCTGTGATTTCTATACAAAAGCTTCATTGCCAACAGTAATACATTCAGAACACTTTCCCCAGGCCTTTTAACATCTTGGGTCCTGTAAATCCTTTTGGGTTCTAGACTCTGTATGTATAAATTCTGTTATCTCTGAGCTGTTCTTTGTGAAATGTCAATCTTATATTGCTCACGCTTGTGTTACTGCAAGACTCCATTTACCTGGGCCACAATAACAAATGAGGAACAATGAGATATGCTCTTTTGATCAGGGGGCCCTTGTGCAGGATTGTGTGCTTAGACGTCTGAGAAACCTCACAGGATTGAGTTTATTGGACACTTTTTGTGAATACTTTGTTAATATTCTTACTTGGGTTTTGATTAATGATAACTTCCTTATAAGGCATGTTGTAGGGTCTCCCAAAGGAGTTCAGCTATGCACCACATTGTTAATTACAGTCTTCACCTGAGAGAGTCGTTCATCATGGAAAGGTGTGATGTGCAACTCCGATAACTTCAGAGCAAACTCTCTCTAGAAGACAATCAGATATGTTCTAATTGCACTCAGCTTCCTCTCCCATGTGTTGAATGGAGGACATGGGAGAGGGAAACACACCTTCCTCTACAACACCAAGACTGGACTCTCTCTCATTCACTGGAGCTGTGATTCCCAACTTTCTACAAATACAGATGCTATTTCTTTCTCCTTCACCTCTCTCCCTTCCATTCTCATGCTAACAAAAGCAGACAGTGATTTTCCTGGAAACATTGATTTATCCTTAAACTTTTCATTATAAAAAAATGAGTTGACTGAACCCATTCAATCATATCTTTATTCATACTTAGATTGGATTACCATATATAACTATGGGTACAACAACAAACCTAAGTTATCTAACATCTTCTATATTTCATGTGATGTAAAACTGGCATTTTATGAAAAAGTTATTTTTATGTTTCCAACCCACATGATCATAAAAGTTAGCTGCCTTATCTCTCCAAGGAAGATGAACACATTTAGACTAAGCTGTTTTACATATTTTGTAGGCTGGCTGTTATTTTGTATGAGCATCCTTCTCATTTATTGGAACCTCAACTACTTGCCAAGACATGTTTGTATCACTACACAAAAGAAAAAGTTTGATAAACATTTTCTCAGGTAGTGACAAGAACTTTTTATAGTGCTGTGATCCTACAAGGCTTGTTACAGAAAAGTTGAGTTTATAAAGAAATGCTGAGGTTAGAAAGGAATGCATGTAGCAAAGAGCTAAATGCAGCTCTCAAACACATAAGTAGGGCTGCTACATAGAGTGGTTTAAGGACTTGCCCAGCATCACACAGTTGATAACTGGTACAGGAGGAATTCAAGCTCCATTCCTCCTGATCCTGATAAACTAGTTTTTTGTTTATTTGTTTTTTAAGATTTATTTGTTTGAAAGGCAGAGGGAGAGAGAGAGGTATTACATTCAATGGTTCATTCCCCAAATGGCCACAATGGCCAGAGCTGCACCGATCAGGAGCTTCATCTGGGTCTTCCACATGGGTACAGGGGCCCAAGGACTTGGAGCATCTTCTACTGCTTTCTCAGGCCATAGCAGAGAGCGGGATTGGAAGAAGAGCAGCCAGGGCTCAAACTGGCACCCACATGGGACGCCGGTACTGCAGGCAGTGGTTTTACTCACTACGCCACAGTGCTAGCCTGATAGACTAGTTCTTTAACCACAAGGATAGTAATTGCAAAGATTCACTGAGTGCTTCCTATGAACCAGGTGCAGATTCATAGGCAGTGACTTGGCAATCATGGCTTCATAGTGAAATTACCCAGATTTTGTGTGTCTATACAGTATGTTAGCTCAGTTACAGCAAAAATGGATGCTTGATGAGCCTAAAGGACATGATGAGACTTTGACAGAGGACGGGACTGAGTATTGGGCTGAGTGGAGATTTTTAAAGAGAACACCTGCCCTGTATGGATACTACCTCCATTCCACATCACTGGGCTCATCCTCTGCAGGGGCAGCAGAAGTTAGATACTTCCTCCCCATCTCCCATAACAGATTCCTTAATTTTTCAGTTTGGCAAACCTGATGCCATGATGTGTGACTCCCAGGAAATGTTATTTAAACATTTTATTTGAGAGGCAAAAAGAAGGAGACAGATAGACATGGAGAAAGCTCCCATCTGCTGGTTTACTCTTCAAGTGTCTGCAAGGGCTGGGATGGGACTGTTCCTAAATCAGGAGCCAAGAACCCAATCCAGGTCTCCCATGGGATGAAAGGGACCCAATGACTTGAGTCATCACTGTCAACTCCTGGGTGAACATCACCAGGAAGGTGGAATTGGTAGCTGGAGCCAGGATTCAAAGCTAGGCACTCATATGGGAAAGGGGCATCTTATCTGCTAGGTGAAATGCCCAACCCTAGGAAATATGCTTAGAGTAGAGACATGCTCTTCTTATTTGCTATTGTCCTTCTGGATGGGGTGGAGAGTGGGTGACTGGAGCTGCAGGAACTGTTTGGTCCCATGAGGGAACCTTATGGATGAGGCAACAAGGCAAAGGAGCCCCTCCTGGAATGAATATCTTTAAATCCTTAAATGTGAGAGAAGTGGTTTTTTTTAGACATTATTTATTTGAAAGGCAGAGTTACAGAGAGAGAAGTCAGTCAGAAAGAGGTATCCTCCATCTGCTGGTTCACTCCTCAAATAGCTGCAACCACCAGGACTTAGCCAGGCTGAAACTGTGAGCTAGCAGCTTCATCCAGGCCTCCCACCTGGGTGCAGGGACCTGAGTACTTGGGTTCTGCAATTCTTTCCCAGGTGTATTAGCAGGGAGCTTGATCAGAAGTGGAGCAGCCATGACTTGAACTGGCACCCCCATTGGATGCCAGAGTTATAGGCTATGATTTAACTCACTCTACCACAATGCTGGCCCCTAAGCTACACTTTTAAATATTTACTTTGTGTGCTACTCATAGCTGGAATAAACTCTAATACATGTGAGTCATTTCATTCCTTTGATACCAACAATAACCCTCTAAACAAGCACTGTGATACTCTCCATGGGCAAGTGAGAAAGTGGAGCCCATAGAATCTAAATACCTTCCTCAGGGCCACACAGCTGAGTGAGAAAACTGAGGTTCCTGCACCCCTTTTTAGGCACTACAGTACCTTCCTCAAATGTAAGATGAATCAAACAGAGGAAATCCTGGTGGCTTTGTCCTCAGTTAGGACACCTTGTACTAAGACAAAATTATGAGTCCAACTCTTTAGTGGCCCTTTAGGTGACCATGGATACTTCAAAATCCTTACCAACACCTTGTAGAGAGTACATGGTGTTTTGAGTTCAGGTCACTAAAAGCCCTTCACAAACCAGCTTGAACAATGAGGAGAGTCAGACACAGTGGCCCTGGGCTCAGCAAATTCAACAGCTGAGTGATGTCAGTGAGAACATGGATTCTTTTCACCTCTGCTCTGTGACTCACAGCACTACCATTATCTGAAGTGGATTCCCGTTGTGGCAACAAAAATTATGCTTAGAGCAAGCAATTGAGATTATCCATACTCCTGTTTATTGGTAGTAGAAAGAGAAATTGAATTCCTTGTCTTTATAAACTGAGGTGGGGGTGAGTGTTTGACACAGTGATTAAAACGCCTCTTGGGAAACTTGGATCCCAAATTAAAGTGCCTGGTACAAGTCTTGGCACACTTCCAATTCCAACTTCCTGCTAATGTGCAACCTGGGAGGCAGCAGGTGATGGCTTATATAGTTGGGTCCCTGCCAACCATGTGGGGAGACCAGATTGAGTCCTCTGATCCCAGTCTCAGCCTGGCCTAGCCCTAATTATTTCAGGCCTTTGGAGAGTGAAATGGTGTACAGAAGGTCTCTTTCTCGGTCTCAAATAAATAAGCATATAAATGTATAAGTAAATAAATAAATATCAAAGTAGAGGGTGTTATGGTACAGTGGGTTAAGCTGCCACTTGGGATGCCCACAGCCCTTATTGGAGGACCTGAAATCAGGTCCCACCTCTGCTTCCAATTGAGCTTCCTGCTAATGCATCTAGGAAGCAATGGTGATAACCTAAGTGTGTGAGTTCCTGACACCCATGTGGGAGACCAGGATGGAGTTCCTAGCTTCAGCTTGGACCAGCCCTGGCTTTGCAGATGTTTGGGGAGAGAGCCAGTGATTGGATATGCTCTCTAATATGTAAATCTTTTAAAACTTTAGGGTAGAATGTTCTTGCCAATCACCTTCTGTCCAATAGCAAAGGTTGGAGGTATCATCTGAAGTGAGACAATAATAGATAAATGACCATCAAGGCCAGGGCTGCCTGTGGCAGACGGGACTGTAATGTTTTAATAGGAATGCTCCCTCTGGACCAACTACTCAGAGATCTTCCCTGCAACCCTCCCTCCCTGCCCCAGGACACTGCTTTCAGAGCTGTCTGTGGCCACAGAGAAGAGGTGGTCTGGGGAGTGGTCACTGAGGAGAGAGGAAGGGCTGTGAACCCCAGGATCCCCTTTCTCCTGGTCTGGAGTCCCTCTCCTACATCACAGCCCTGCAGCAGAGCATGCCTGTCACCTCCCTCAGCCTGTGACACAATCTATTAACATTGCCCATGATTATGTTAGACTTGGGGACCACAGTGTACTATGTCAACTTGAACTTCTTGGTTGGGGCTGGTGCTGTGGTGTAGTGGATAAAGCTGCCGCCTGCAATGCCAGCATCCTATATGGGCACCAGTTCTAGTCCTGGCTGCTCCAATTCTGATCCAGCTCTCTGCTATGACCTGGGAAAGCAGTAGATAATGGCCCAAGTGTTTGGGTCCTTGCACCTAAACTGACTCCTGGCT